AGACATAATAAAAAAAGAGGGAACAGAATGGGTAATGAAAAAGCAGAATGAAATTGAATATGAATATGAATGGTTGAAATACATGCAGATCTCTGACCTTTTTAGGTCAGACAAAAGAAATTATGGTTTTAGAGAGGAAAAAAATGAAATGGAAAAGGTATGGGAGAGTGGAGGGGGAAAAGATATCTCTAAAATGTATAAAGTGTTGTTAAAATGGTATACAGAAGATGAGACTGTGAAAGAGCAAATGTTAAAATGGGCAATAAATATGAACAAGGAAATTGACATAGAAACCTGGGAATATTTGTGGAAAAATGCTATTAAGATATCACCCTGTACCAATGTTAGAGAGAATTGTTACAAAATGATGTATAGGTGGTATATGACCCCAAAGAAAATTGCAAATATGAACCAGAATATGTCAAATAAATGTTGGAAATGTAAAAAACATGAGGGCTCATTTTACCATATGTGGTGGACTTGTGAAAAAGCTACACTCTTTTGGACAAAAGTCCACAAAGAAATGCAAAAAATACTTAAGTGCTCTTTCAAGAAAGCGCCTGAAATTCTGCTTTTGGGACTAAAAATGGAAGAAGTTAACTCGACTAAAAGGACTTTATTCTGGTACCTTATTACAACAGCGAGGATGATTTATGCACAATTTTGGAAGACTGAGAAAGTACCAGAAATCGAAGACTGGATACAAAAAGTTCTGTTCATGGCAGAAATGGATAAAATTACAAAGAAGTTGAATAATCAAGAAGACAACGTGTTTTTTCAAGAATGGAATGACTTTAAAATATATCTGGAAAAGAACTGGGATGTAAAACAAAACTTAATATGTTTAGATCAATATTAAGTCAAATGATGTTATCTTGAGGTTGGATGATAACAAATGATGTGTTAATGATATAATGAAATTTGTAAGAAGGGGGAGAAGCATTGCGGGAAGCCACTGGAGGGAGGGGAGGAAGGGAATGAGGTAAACAATGGACTGAATGATTTAATCTTATATGCTATGTTCCTAAGAAAATAAAAATTTGTTTACAAAAAAAAAAAAATACATATAAATCAATGTATAAACAGGTTAAAACCATTAACAATTGAAACAATTACAAATCTAAAAACTATTTCCAATGGTGTTAAAGGACCTCTGATTCATGCCATGAGGATGATATGTCTTTAAATTGTAAATGAATCTAGTTTCCTTTTGCAAAAGGATTTGTTCAATATTTAGTTGTTGGAAGGGCTTTTTTTGTTGGCAGTATAAAATTATGAACTTCATTTCATTCGCACTATGACCTGCCTGCATGTAATGTTTTTTCAGGTACCATACCCCAGGATACCAATTTTATATGCATTACCCAAAATACATAAAAAAGGAAACCCACCCCCAGGACGTCCTATTATATCAGGGGTAGGATCTGTCTTTGAACCCATATCTCAGTATCTGGACCATATCCTGCAGCCCCTAGTAATTAAGATAAAATCATATATTAAGGACACCACACATTTCATTCAACAGGTAGAGAATATTCAGGTTCCTGAAGATTGCTATCTTGTAACCCTTGATGTAAGGGCTCTATATACTAACATACCACATGATGAAATAAGATCAGTCATTGCAGAGCTACTAGAGCAACAACAAAATATCCCTGTTCCAACTTATTTTTTGCTTGAAATTTTGGATTTGATATTGGAAAATAATTATTTTCGATTTGAAAAAGATTTCTACTTGCAAAAATGCGGCATAGCAATGGGTAATCCTGCTGCACCATCACTTGCTAATCTTTTTATGCAATATTTTGAGGAAACTTATATTCTAACATCTACAAACCCTTTCTTTTCTAACATCAAAAAGTTTTTCAGGTTCATTGACGATATCTTCTTGCTAGTGCAGGGGAATATATGCTTAAACCAGTTCCATCAGTGGCTCAATACATTACATGACAGCATAAAGTTTGATATTCATTATAGTCAGCAGTCTATTAATTTTTTAGACACTATAGTATATGTGAATCAGGGCAGATTATTGGTTAAGCCATACCATAAAACAACTGATAGAAATTCCTTGTTGTATTTTACATCCTTCCATCCGCATAAACTACGCCATAATCTACCATACGGACAGTTTATACGGGCCAAAAGAAATTCATCCATGCCACAAGATTTTGCTGCTGAAGCAGATCTATTAGAGAAACAATTTAAGCAGAGAGGTTATCCATTTAGGACAATAAGACAGGCGAGAGTCCGGGCAGAACATGTGGCGAGGGAGGGACTTCTAAAATACAGAAATAAAAAAGCTACAGGAAGAATTGCATGTGGCTTCCAATTTTCTAGCATTTCTAATAAAATTAGAAGATCTGTCTACAGACATTGGCACATAGTTTCACATATTCCAGGCTGTCAGTTGCCACCATATATAGGTCTACGCAGAGGAAAAAATCTGAGAAACACTTTAGTTAAATCTGATTCCTTTAAGGACAGTACACCTGCTACCAATTCAAAAGGGTTCCTTAAGTGTAGGCATTGCAAGGCTTGTCAGCATATGATAGAAGGCAGCAGTTACACTGATAAAGATACAGGGAGTGTATACAATTTTAATTTTACAGCAACCTGTTCAACTAAGAATTTAATTTATCTTTCTCTCTGTCCCTGTGGGTTCAAGTATATTGGCATGACAACTAGGGCAATTAGGACTCGGGTGTTGGAACACCGGTCCAGAGTGAATAATAATGTTGAAAATTCACCAATGGTTGGACATTACATGCAGGCAGGTCATAGTGCGAATGAAATGAAGTTCATAATTTTATACTGCCAACAAAAAAAGCCCTTCCAACAACTAAATATTGAACAAATCCTTTTGCAAAAGGAAACTAGATTCATTTACAATTTAAAGACATATCATCCTTATGGCATGAATCAGAGCATGGATTTTACACCTTATATCAATCAATGATAGTTGCCTAAATGAAACTTAAATATTTTGTTCTAGGTGATGGCAGTTTAGTGCACTTGCTGCTTCTGGATTTTTGAGCAGTATGCATGGCACTATGACCTTTTAAGAAACTTTGCCTGTGCCGATGCAGCCTGAAATTAGGTATAAATTAAGGTGCAGCACATGGCAGGTTAAGGACCTTAATCCTCCTTGACTGATCATTCTGGCTTAGCATATGCCAGCTTTTGAGACTGGGGTGAGTTTTCTTTGCAGCTCCTAATTTTTCAAATATTTATATTCTGTATGCATTCTCACTTGTTGTATAATTATATTTTGCATGCATTCTTATTTGTATATGCTTTGAATTTGTATTCAGTCCCATATATGCTTTGAATTTGCATTCAGTCCCATTACAGCCATACTTGAATAAGAACTATTCGAAACGCGGCTTCAGGCATCCGGATTACGCGTCGGCTTTTGATGGCTCAGAAGCTTTTGATGGCTCAGAACATTTGATTATTCCAATTTGGACTTTGATATTGCCTCTATGCTAGAGAAGACTCTGACTGTTTCTATTATCTTTGCACCTTGGCCTATTGATTTATATCATACTTGTTGTTATGCTTATTTGATTTACATTTCATTATATCATACTTGCTTATTTGATTTACATTACACTTGCTGTATGCTTATTTGATCATTATATACTTGCTTATTTGCTTGTAAGTTGTTTTTGCCAAGTGGTGTTGTTTTTTTTGGCCCTTCTGGAGTTTGGCAACCTTAAGAGGTGCACTGCAGTCTTAGACCACTGGTTCAGGGCATGAGCTCCTGGAATATCCCCCCCCCAAAACCTTCCTACTACAAGTCTACAAGTGAAGAAGATAATTTCTGTAGTTTAGGAAAGACTGCAGAACTTTTCGTCAAAGTGGTAGTGGTAGGTGCAAAGTCACACAGCTAATTTAAAACAACCCTGTAGGCAGGGCTATTTTTGGGCAGGAACGTAGAGGAACTCTGGCTCCTGAGTTGGCCACGCCCAGCAGGAACTCATTAGCATAATAGGCCACACCCAACAGCAGAAACTCATTAGGATTGGCTACATTAGGGGTGCGTGGCCTAACATGCAAAGGAGTTCCTGCTACAAAAAAGGCCCTGGGTTTTGACAACAAACAGGGTAAACAGAATAAGAAGCAAAAGGTGGGTGTGGATGGATGACCACACTTCTGGTAACATGGGGTGTGGCCTAATATGCTAATGAGCTGTGCTGTCAGGGGTGTGGCCTAATATGCTTATGAGTTTTTTGTGTTGGGTGTGGTCTATTATGCTAATGAGTTCCTGCTGGACTTTTTCTACAAAAAGAGCCCTGCCTGTAGGGTTTTCAAAGCAAGAGACGTTCAGAGGTGGTTTTAGCCATTGCCTGCCTCCGTGCCGCGACCCTGGTATTCCTTGGAAGTCTCCCATCCAAATACTTGCCAGGGATGATCCTGCTTAGCTTCTGAGATCTGATGAAATCAGGCTAGCCTGGGCTATCCAGGTCAGGTACTGTAGTAGGTACTGTAAAATAAAGCCTGTTGCCATAAAGAACACAGCTTGGTTCAGATACTGGGATGTGTTAGACTTGCTGCAGAAATAAAAGGCTTCATCTTGCATTTGTGCTATTGACAACCTAGAGTCTAGGTCCTAGACCACTTTGAAGAAAACACTCTACAGCCTTTGCTCTATAAACATTTTCCATTTCAGTTGTTAACTGGAGATATATTAAAATTAATGAAAATGCATCATGTAAGAAACAAAGAGCTCCAAAGCAACACTGAAAAAAGCCTATTTTGTTAGATTAAAGTTGCCAACTCCAGCTTGGGACATTCCTGGAAGACTGGGAAGTAATACATGGGAAAGATGGGAGTTTTAGGAGGGAGAACAGGAGGGATGTGGTGCCATACAGTCCACCCTCTGAAACTGCCATTCCCTCCTGGGACAGCTTTTTATTTTCACTGCAATAATCAGTACACACTTATAAAGCATCAGAGGCAGAAAGACGATCAGCTTTTTGTTACACTGTTTGAAAGTGAGTTTCTTTATTAAGATCTACGTATGTTCTACACTTGATGGTCTTCAACCATCTTCAAATGTACAGTTTATTAGCATTCCACTGAAGTATACGGAAGTCCAGGAAGAGCATGTTAACAGTACAGTAGTAAGTATGTTAAATGGAATGCTTCAGCAGCTAGGAAGTTAAAAAATGACTTTACAATCAAAGTTCAGTCCAGTTTTAAAATACATGCTTCTTCTCCTGCTTGAAGGTTATAATAAAACAGCCCAAGCAGCATGTTTATATCTTTAATAGGGATATAAAACAGGTCCAAGAGTCCAGTTCCAGAATCTTTGTTCAGGTTCATTGATAACAATTTCATGTAACTGAAGGGAGCTCCAAGTTCTTCAGCTGGTTATCTTTCAAACTTGATTGTTATGTGAATCTATCCATTTAGCAGCAATTTTTAGTGTAATGGATTTCAGAGAATGAAGTTCTGGACAGTGCCAGAACTTGAACCTAGCAAAAGATTAATCTCTACAAGAACCTTACTGTGGTATACCTGCTGTGTTTGTGGCATACTGAAGCACCAACCTCCTTCTATGCCAGTCTACATACACACTTTGGCTTTACAGTTGGAATAGACAACAGTCCCTCTTCACATCTAGTCTTGCTATATAATTCTAGGGCACAGTAGTATAAATAAATTCATTTCTAAAATAGTGTAAGTACTTTAGAAAGATTTCTTGGCTGCCTTCCAGGCCAAAATGGAACTAGTAAGGTTTTCTTCACCCCATGATGAAAACTTTACAGATCTGAAATAATGTAAATCAAAAGAATTACTAAGGTGAATGCACTCCCCTTATTCTCTAGATTTAAAAGCAGGGATCCTTTACCATTTCCCCCTTCCCTGTTACTGGAAGCCACCCAGAGAAAGGGAGGAGCCATTCTAGAGAAGCAGCAGCTGCTGCTGCAGATAGGGTATGCTTTTCTACCACAGCTGTGTGATATAAACAGAGTTAGATCTTTAGATAAAGAGGGATATGAACTCCTGGAGGCCATCCAATATAGTAGTGCTACACAAGAAGATGGAATTTATTTTCCTGTACCCATGATGTTAGGAGTCCATTCCTTGGACAGTGAACCAAACTATGAGAATGCCTTTTTAACTCCTGTAAAGACTGTGCAAATCTCACTAAGCAGAACAAGATGGCTGGAGGATTCTGACAACTCTTGCCTAGGTTAGGTACCACAGTAACAACATGGTACACGTTAGTCTTAAAAGGAGTTTCAGATGACAAGCTGCTGCTCCCCAGCAACTATTTCCTGAATACAACTACTTAGTAGTAAAAATCCTGCTAGATGACACAGGGTTCCTCAGCAGTTAAGTGCTTCACAAAATCGATGCTTTACACCAACCTGTAAAGCTTTTCTGAATGATTAAAAAGGTTGATTTCTGAACATAATTGAAATCTCACTTCATATAATCTTGTGTTCCCCTGCTCTAATCCCCTCCATACTTTTAAAAAATCAGGATGAAAGATTAACAATTATTGGCTGCCCTATGGAAATTTAGATTTTGCAAAGTGATTCAAGTGCACATAGGGCAGATGACATCAATTCTGGGGAACTTGAGGTTTGTACAAGCAGCAGCTGTAAACTTCACAGTTTGGCTTGCATTGGCTTCAGGTGTTTGTGGAAAGATTTGTGGACCTGTTGGAAGAAGGAAGCTCAGTTAGAGATTTTAAAACACACACACAAAAATCTGTACCCCACCTTTCTAATTCAACATGAATACTGGTGGTTTACAATAAAATCCATAAGTTTAAAATAGGTAACTGACAGCTATTACAACTTGCATGCACTGGGGAGAAAAGGCTAAAGGCCTTTTTGAAATAGAGGTATTTTTCAGCTGACACCAGAAGGCCACTGAAGGTTGAACTGTCTGCAGTGCAGGGGAAGAGAATTCGAAAGAGCAGGGACAACCACCAAGAATGCCCTCATGTAGGCTCTGACCAATCTGATTTTTCCACCTTGGTATTCGTGTAACAAGGCTTCCACAGTCCATCTCAAGAGTACAAGCTACTCTGTACGGGTGGTGGTGGTCCAATTAGAACCATAGAACCTCAATTGATGCATGTTTCAGTCCCACCAAGTTCAATAAGACTTACTCCCAATAAGACATGCAATACACAACATTCCATTAAAAGTAAAAACATCACTAGCCATAAAGGTGATAGCATAGGGATACTGACATGAACTTCCAGGTGCCCCTATATCCTCACTTTCAGATATTCTGATGTTCTAATGAGGAACAGCATAAACCCCTCCAGGAATCCAATAGTCTTATGTCAGGTTTAAATGGCTAAATCCATGTTGGAAGTCCCAGTTACTGCAATCTGTGCTCAAGAGAGACTATGTAGTACAGTGGGCTTTTCACTAGCCAATGCCCAATTTTGCTTTCACTCAGAGTAATGTGTGCCTCAGAAACCCTAAATTCAAACATCACAACAAACTATGGCTACAGAAACTTAACTGTGGTTTAGCACAGCATCAGAGTTGACAACATAGTTTATGACTGGTCTCAGGCATGCAGAGTTTAGCAGGAAAACTACACAAGGCTTTCACTCCCAGCAATTCACAAACTAGAATTCAGGCAGGCTGCCCAGTTTGGTGGGCTGCCTACAATAGGCTGCAAAAACCAGCATAAATTCCATAGCCTCTCTGAAACAGCAGAGAGAACAACAGAACTACATTGATGCAACTTGTTCTCTCATCTCCACTTCCACTTTTGATGAGCCTGGGCAGATCTTAGATGCATCCTCAAAGAAATGGGAAAGGATCTCAAAATATGAGTACCTGCAAGTCCCCTATGGGACTGTAATCAATCAGAGAGAAGTCCATAATTAGCCTGCAGGCCTTAATGCTTTAGTTATAATTTCTTCAAGTAGAAACCTAAGCAAACATCTATCGTAGTTGCTAAATCAAATTCCAAAAGAATGTCAAATCCTCATAACATCCACTGGGCAACAATTTCTTCATTCAAATAGTTCATTTTGTGGGGCACTGTCTTGTACGTTTCTACCCTGTTCTGTGAATTAAGATCAGGTAGAAGAGGCCATTATTGGTGTACAACCAGATTTTGAGGTAATTATGACTAAAACACTCAGGTAGCCACTTGTCTGTGAAACTCCTTCCTGAAGGAGAAAAACCACATTCATGCCATGCGACCATGAGTTGGGGATCTCATGGCATGAAATGAGTTTGCATACAAGGGTCTTCCTTGGTTTCCCCTTCAAAAGCTGTGAAGCAAAAGTGCCCATGAAGGGTTAAGTGATATAACAGTATGTTAGCCTTCTTTTCTAGTGCAGCTGTTTTCAGTTTGTTACCGTTAATGTGCTGATTCTAAGGACAGGCAGACCTACCAATTAACTTTATTTGGAAAAACTGTTTTCGCCGTAAAGTGGGGGCAGCTGATAGTTGAAAGGAAAAAGGAGTATATTTTGACACCTTAGCTGGGGGAAAAAGCTAGCCTAGGAGATTCTGGGAACTCCTGTATGCGGTTTGTGTTTGCAGACCTCGACATGAAGCTACATTTCTTGGTGTGACCCATGGCCTATGCTTCCTGAAAACTGCGCTGTAGAACACAGGTAGTTGAGTTAGTGTTTTTTATTTTTTCGTACTCTCTGAAATGTTTTGTTGCTGGATTTTCTGTTTCTCTCTTTTGACCCTAGGCTCACGTGTGCTCAAGTCTCCTGTTAACCCACGAGAAAGCCTCGCTATCTTGACAAAAGCCCTTCCCCAAATTCTCTGTTAAGGGTCATGAACTCTCATTCACACAGCACAGATGCTGCAGTAAGGAAGGAAGTTTGGAATGATGTTCTTGTCTGAACTTTTTCCACTCACACTTTTAGGATTCAAAACCATGAGATTCCTGGGGTCAGGATTTTGAGCCTTTATCTGCTGGAACCTAGAACGGTCCCACATATTGCTCCCTGCCTTTGTCTGTACTTGAATGTATTTTGTTGAAAATATTTTCTAAATGGAGGGTACACATTTTTAAAATAATTTTGCACTTTGTGGTGAAAGTAGGAAGGATTTCCTTACCTGTGTTTTATTTAATGGTGATTTCTTTGACCATTCAAACATGTTTTCATAGATGTTACCATCGTATCGACCAAGAACAGATCCAAGAAACAAATCACTGAAGTCAAAGGAATCCACAAGAGCTACTGCATTAGGACGGATTAATGCCAAGAGCTCCTTCACCCGCTGGTTCACCTGAGTTATCTGTGCATCTGTCAAAATGCCTCCCTAAGACCAAAGGAAAAACCAACAATTCATGTTCACAGTCTTGTCTATAAATGCAGCCTAATTGTCCCATATGGGGACTTACAGATGAAGCTAAAATAGCCAACAGGGCTGTCAGATGTCTTATGGACCCACCTGCAAGTCAGAAAGCGAGTGGATAGTTTAAACAGATTCCATACATAAACCAGCCTTGTTTAATAATTTCAGCTTTAAAAGAACTATCCAGTTAACAGAAGCATTGAGATGCACAATATACAATATTTATCCAAACAGCACACAGAGGTATTCAAAACATTTGCCATCACCTGTATTGAGCTTATGAGCACTTTATGATGTTCATGTGAATTTTATTGTATTTATTGTTTTATTGCATTTTAACATCTGTACACCGCCTTGAGCCAGTTTGTTCGGCAAGGCGGGATATAAATCGAAATAATAAATAAATTTGTGTAAAGAGAAACAGTTTCTGAAGGGCTACAATGAAATTGCAAAAGTGCAAGTGAATTTGCATTTCCAAAGTCTGAAGACCGTAGACTCAAAGTTCTGCCTGACCAGAGGTTAGTTATAAAAAGAAGTCTGTCCCAACCCTACCTTCAGCCAAGGCTGCTAACTGTGCCACCATATGAGCATGCACACAAAGGTGTTCTGTTTTATCTATGTCCATGTACCCTTGTGTTTAGTCCTTATGGTGAAATATTTAACCAAAACTCTTTTCCCTTGTGCTTTCAGCCCCCATTGCTGGTGTAATCCCAGTTGTCAACAGTTGGGTTTTGTTTCTTTGTCATCACACAGCAGAGCATTGTGGATCAAGATCTCACAGTAGAATCGGATTACCTACCTGCAGGAAGTCTCCACTGTGCTTACTGATTCCATGAAGTGCAAAGAGAAGACACAGGTTGTTAACAACGGCACGAGTGGCTGGATCACCGATTTCTGAAATCTTTGCAGTAAACAGCTTGACTACCACATAGTGGCAATGTGCCTGGAAGGTAACATTTAATAGGCAAATATAAACTCAGGAGTCCATGGGGTCAAACAAGCTACTAAAACAGATTTACATGGAGGCACTACCAACCTCAGATGCTCGTACTAGATCAACAGAAGTCCGGTTCCAAGCATCCTCCTTGCTCCTCCTACGGTTTAGCTCAGCTTGCAGATTCTTTGCTGCAAATTCAACCAGCCTGCACACCACATACGTACACAAAGACAGCTTATTCAGAATTGCACCAAATAAGTAGTTCAGCAGAGTCAATTGACTGGAATACTAAAGGAACCCAAGAACAGTAAAGTAATGACAATGGACTGTGGCATAAATCCCAGCAAAGTCATGCACTCAGCTACATGCTTAATACAGATTGTACTGTTAGCGATTTCTATATTCCCAAATTCTCTCCTATGAATAAACAGAGGGCAAATAAATGTTCGAACTGCAGCATTTTGGCTTGCTCTTATATAAATTCTTCATTAGCATTTCCTCAGAAGTTTTGCTACAACAATCATTTCTAGTGCTACTTCTCTGGCACCTTGAAATAGACAAAGTCTATCATGCATAAATAAAGAAAATGACAAGAACATCCCGTGGAGGGAGCAGAGAGGACGACTAGTTAGCGTAGTGAAATTAGGCACTTCCTACTATTTTCATAGTCACCTTCCTGTCTCCTGATTGGCTCAGTTAGGGTTTTCCCCCACACCTGAGAATTGTTTGTTACTGACTCCCTCCTAGCTAGTTAGACAGTCAGATTTTTCTTTCTCTCCTCTTTCTTACAAAGTTTGTTCTCTTCTTAATAAACCAACTTAATTCTTTAAACAGCTTGTAATCCCCTTTACTGTATACCTACACTCTGCCAATACTTTACACATCTTCCAGCAACAGGCAAATTCTCACCTCTATGGGTAGAGAAGGGCTCATAACTTATCCATCCTCTAAGTTCTTTCCCCTCCCAGTACGAATATGTCAAGACACAAAAGCCGCCCTTTCTAACATCAGCCAATAATGAAATTGTCAGAATGGGGTGATCTGAGCTGGACAGATTTATTTTAATATTAGGGAATGACAGATATTCACTGTTTCCATTACTATTAGGATACATTTCCTATAGAAACACACACACTTACCTAGAAGCTCTGAGTTTATAGGTTTCCACCAAACTGGCTGGGTTATTGATATGGAGGGTTGCAGGCCTAGCAGCCACCTGCTGTGGCTGAATGCGTTGCCCTGGTAGGTCATTCAGATAGGACATCATACCACTAACTAATTGTCCAGAACTAACTTGTGTATAACTTTTGATCAGAAACCTAAATGCAAGACAGAATAAAAATAAGGTATGAATTAAAATAGGGCATTGCATGACAGCGCTGGACACCATGGGTTGGATCCAACAATCATTTTCTGGAAGTAGAAAGGGGGACAATTTTCACACACACACACACCACCACCACTGCAGAGTCACAATTTCCCCCCAGGTTGTTCTTGAGGAGGGGAAGCAGGAAAGTTCCATTCCACTCTTGGAAATGTGTTCTTCCAGTGGAAAGTCACCTATGAGTCCAACTTATAGTGCTACCAGTAAATGAGTTTATACGTTAACTACATCTGTAATTCCAAGAATTGCACGAAGGCAATTGAGAATAGAGCTAGAAAGGCAAAGAAAGCATCACAAGAGTCTACCAGCATGATTATATCTATATGGAAATCTAGACGATGTGTCCCTTTTGACTATGAAATCTGGAGAGTTATTTTTAAAAGTGTTAGGTTTTTTTCTGCCTTTGAATTCTGAACTTTCTGGCTAAACATCTGAATTGGAACCTCTCAATTCTTAAAGTGTAACTTTCTCAAACAGCATTGGTATTTAAAACCTATGCCCACTATGAATCACTACTTCAGAGTCTAGGACAGCTTCATCCCATTGAGGGGCAGTGATGGGGAGGGGCTATGGCTCAATGGTAGAGTATCTGTTTTGTTTGCAGGAGGTCCCATGGTCAACCCCCAGCATCTCCATTTAAAGGATCAGGTAGCAGGTACCACGAGCTGTTGCTTGTCAGAGTAGACAATACTGACCTTGATAGACAAAATGGTCTGGTTCAGTATAAAGAAGCTTCACAGGATGTTAAGTCCAGCATCTGAAGAGTAGTTTCCTTGATAAGGAAGGATTCCTACTATACCATGGCAATCCTGACCAGTTTCAACAAATTTCCTATCTGCAATAAGCTCTATGAAGTTGCAAGATGGGCTTCCTTTTCTTCTACTCCGGTATGAGCTGGGCTGGCTAATTTACTTATTTAGTTACATTTTTATCCTGCCCTCCCCGCGAACGGACTCATGCTGTTAATCTTTAATTATCTGAACCTGGGTCATTACGGTTACATAGAGGAGATGAGAACAATCATGTTCCTTTGGATAAACATGTTCTCCTGTCTAAATCTTCCTTGCCTGATGGTTTTTCATTTGCACTTGGACTGCTCAAAGTTGTGCTGCTCTCACATTCTTTCTTAAATGGCTGGGAGGAAACTGCTGTTCCCATAACACAGGAGCTTAAAAAGTGATTTATGCACATTAAGACCTCATGATAGTTAATTCTGACCGTTTGTAGCTTCCCGTTATACTGACATGTGGAAATTTAAAAAGCCACACACAAACAAGGCTACCAGGAACAGCTCCTAGACAGAAATCCTGCTGGCTTTGCATTAAACAGTCACCTACAGCAACAAGCATAGTATCATCTGAAACAGCCTGGTTTTTGCAGTAAAAAGAAACATGGGCCTCGGTCACACGGCAAAGTTGCTACGGGAGAGCCACGGGAGTCCCGTGGATTTTCCGGGTGCAATCTCACCCCAACATCTGGGATGCGCAGTGCTCCCGTGGCGAACTCGTGGCTCCCCACTGAAGGTGCGGAGTTAAAAACTAGTACCTACGAGGTACTAGTTTCCTGAAACCGCGGGCCAAGGGCGGGCATCTGATTGCGTTCCCAATGGACTTACGTGGCATCTGGCGCCTGCCGCTGTTCGTCTCCGCAGGTTGCGCAACAGCGCCCAACAGCACATGCGCAGAAAGAGCAATTGCCAGTGCGATCGCGCAGCGCAGCTTCTGTGCCGCGCTGCAGGATACCCATCTGATTGGCATTTCCCCCGAACCACGGGACCTCGACCGGGACGTGTGCTCGGGCATCCACGGGTTAGTTTCCTCCCGGGCATTTAGCCACACCTCCCCCCCCCCGCGATATCCGGCCCGTGTGACTGGGGCCATGGAGACTCAAGTAAAGACTCAAAGATGTGTAGTGTCAAGTAGTGGGCTAAGAGCTGTGTCCCTCACCGTGCCGTCTGCAACATCATGACTGTGTTTTCTCCTTCGTAGGTGCAAGAGGGTGTAAAATTCACATAAATGTCAGGTAGGCCACTACACCGGGAATAGCCATGCCCACCACATGCCATCCGACATTCCTCAATGCCAGCATTGGCAATCCAGGAACTGAAAGCCTTTAGTCCTGCAGACAGCGCATGAAGCTGAGGGAGAAAAAAGAGTTAGAATCCAGTCAGATAGGATTATTTCTGCTCAGCTGTATCATGTGACGCTGCACAGTATTTTCTACCCTACTAACATGATAGGAAGAAAGGGAAAAACTCCTAAACACTCCTCTGGGCAAACCCAAAGCTCTGCTTCATCTAGATGTTATCTAGTTTCCCTTGTTCCCAGGGATCAACTGACCTTTATTTGATCACAACAGCAGAGAGAGAGCTAGTAGGTTCCTTGGCCAAGTACCCTTACACCTTCCCTGTTGCTATGGGGGTACTTTGGGGAACACCCATCAAAAGTCTGGGGTTGCCCACCTTTCCATCCACCTTTCAGATACTGGTTGCATGTTTCAGCCATGGGTGGGGGGACTGTGAGCAGATGGGTGCACGCTGGACCCAGGTGCAGAGTCCACTAAAACACCCGCAGTGGTGGGTGTGCTCTGTACGCGTTCCCACCCTAGCTAGTGGGTTCCTCGGCTGAGTACCCACATTCATTATACCCTCCCAGCTGCCGTGAGGGTACTTTTGGGAGCCCCCTCAAAAGTCTGGGGATGCCTAATCTGCATTTCTGGGGATGCCTGATCTGCCTCCTAACCTGTCTTTTTAGACTTGATGCATGGCCCTGCCAGCTTCATGTATGTTTCCATTTATCCACACAGTAGAGGTATTCACCGCAATGGATGGGTGCGCTGCGGAACCAGGTGTAGCCAAATAATACACCCCCTTGGTGGGTGTGCTCTGCAACTGTTTAGTTCCACCCTAGCTAGTGAGTGCCTTGGCTAAGTACCCATTCATTACACCCTACTTGCTTCTATGGGGGTACTTTGGGGAGCCCCCATCAAAAGTCTGGGGTTGCCCACCTATCCATCTCTCTTTCAGGTTATGGCTGCATGTTTCAGTTTTGGGTTGGGGTGGTCATGCTTGGACTCAGGGGGGGACTCAGGGTTTTCGAGCCACCAGATCTACTTCCTCGTCAGGTATTTGACCCACCACATCTTCTCCCATCTCAGGGCTTTGACCCACCATGTCTACTCCTGTCTCAGGGCTTTCAAGCCACCTACCAGGCCCACTTCCTTCTTAGGGCTTCCAGCCACCATGTCAACATACATAATTGCACACTGGTTTGTATTTGGGTGTCAGGGGTGGACTTAGGGCATGAAGCGACCAAGTCTACATATGTCATTGCACGCTTTGGGGTTGGGGTGTCAGGGGTCGACTCAGGGCTTTTGACCCACCATGTCTACTCCCTTCTCAGGGCTTTTGACCCACCAGGTCTAACTACTTCTCAGGGCTTGGAACCACCACATCTACATAAGTGATTGCACACTGGTTTGGGTTTGGGTCTCAGGGCAAATTGCCCTGGTTCTGCTCAGGGTACATTGCCTCTTATCCTATCATTATTGTCTTTTCCAGGTATGCCATCAAAAAAGAAGGAGTTGTCTTGTGTTCACATACTAGTTAGTTATGTCCAATTAAAAAATTAATTTTTGTGTGTAACTTTTTCAGGTTGTCTTATATTCAGGGTCATTGCGGAAAGAATATGATTGATAATTCTGGAAAAAGTGATATTATCACCACTCTTTAACCTCAAGGGAAGCAATCAACATTACAATGATCAAAAACAGCACACTAACACTAAGTACTATCTAACATTCATAGTTTGAGACTGAACTGGAAATGAACCAGAGGGTTAAAAATTCTGATGAGCCTGAGCCCAAATGCTTTAATGAAATGACTCCCTGATCTTAACTCAGTTACTTACCCTTACAGTTGCAAAGAATTGGAAAATTTAATCTCACTTTTGTCTTTGCCTCTCCTCCAGTCCCTTATCTGGAAGTTTAGTAACCAGTTCATGTTATTTTCTTTGCTGTTCCCTGCTACACATATCCTATATGGTTTTCTGGGGGAGGGGACAGTGTGATCTTTTGGACGTAGTTCACAGTCCATTGATTTTAGACTGGGCACTTGAAGCAAAAACAGCTGCATTCTGAATACCCATCTGTCAAATTCATCCTCTCAGTTTCCCAATCCCTTCCATCTCATCATCCTCTCTATTCCCAATTTTTTTTTAAGAAACAAAACCCTTTTTGTAGTATTTTGACTACTTTCCCTCTTTTAAAGCCTCACCTCTGGCATTTCTCTCAGGTCTCCATCATTGATGTCTGCAGTGATGCGACGATAGGTATCTTTCATGTAGGCTCCCACAAAGTGGAAGGCATATGCTGCTGCCAGAAGAGGAAAGAGTTTGTACTGCTGAGTCTGATAATCCAAGATCTGGGGCTCTGGCTCCCTAGCAGAATAGGGTAAAATAAAAACCAAAACAGTTATAATCAGGGGTCATTTCCTGCAGGAGCGCACAGGAGCAGAGTTCCGGCAGCAAAGAACCCAGGGGGCGGGCACATGCAACAGGCCCCGCCCCCTGCTCCCAGCAGCCCTGGGCCACAAGGAGCAAGAAGCAGCCAAGTAAGTTGCAGAGCCTCCCCCCCCCCCCGAGGTGCAGAGCCCGGGGAAGGCCTTTGGAGCCCCGCCGCCCACCTTTCCTGGCACCAGCGGGGTGGCGGCGGCTTGACTGGGGGGGCATGGGGGGTGGCAGGGCCTTGATGGGGGGTGAGGGAGCCATGGGGGGGAGCGGC